TAAGAATTATTAGTGTATCACTATTTGAAACAAATAAGAGACAATTCTAATCTTTATTTCGTTTCATCACCATAATTGCGATGTTAAAACTGTAGTAATTTCAGAACCGTACTGTAATGATCACAATGTATTAGTTTAACTATCACTTAGCGCAATTTTATATAATTTATTAGAAAGCACACAATTTTGTCTTATCTGTTAAGAAGAATGATTTTGAAGCGATAGTGTTTATTTAAATGATAATTTCTAAAAATGTCATATAATTTTGGGCATAGACATACGTTTACAATTCATTCAACTAAATCAAACGAAAGTTATTTCTTCAATAATTATGATATCACTATGAATGTAATATTGCTTGTAAATGACGCTTGAGGACCGGTTTGATGCTCAATCGTCCATTTCAATAACTATTGTCAAAATTTTACTATTCCATTTTATTCCAAAATTTTCACTGTCATTGCTGTCGTTCTTTTCATCGTTGCCACTTTTAAATTTTCAATTTGCATATTTCATCGTTTCTTTGCAAAATTTCACTCAATTAGAATAAATATTCTTACATGATCGTTAATTTTCTTGTGTTGAAGAAAAATATACCGGAAGGCATTTTTAAGAGTAAAATTTAGGCACTTAGCTAAAGACTTGGCCATTGAAATACGTATGGCCATTTATAGCTTTATTTATCACTTTTAAGCTGGGCTACTATTTCGGATGAGTAAACCTGAATATGTGTAATTCCTTTTAGGTTCTTATTTAGCCTGGCAATATTTTCACACGCAAATTTCAATCGATCTCATAGCAATATTTTTCTTCCTTTTGCGAATAACAAAAAGTTTATGAGACAATGTTTCACTCATTTCTACTTTACCATCCCAATGGGCCTATCAATTTGGATGTTATATGTTGGTTGATAAAGGCTCGAATAACATTCATCTTTCAATTAAGCAATGAAGCCTTCAGATTTCCGAGATATATCTGATATATTCTGATGAATTCACTAATTGGAATTGGAATCTTCCAAATTCTTTCTCACACAACAATTAATTGATTAATTCGTAAAAGTTTTGGCGGTAATTAAAGTCTACTAGCATTATTAACAAATTGATATGAATTGTTTTTATTTTTTTCATTTTTTTAAAATTTTATTCCAACAAAAAAAAAATCACATAATAATATTTGCCTAATGCGGAAATTATTGTTTACGTTTACAACTACATAATTATTACACTTTTTCACGTGTCATTGTGTGTTATTTTTAATGTATAATACCATACGTTACGCATAGATTAAGTATTGCTTAACTAATACGTGCAGCATAGCAATATCTTTTCTTCATGTTTGTTTTTTGTTTTTAATACATTGTAAAAATATATTTTTAAATGTTTAAATCTATTAAAAATTTCATTCATAAATCTATACATGCATGCATGCATACATGCATTCTGCATAATTTTGTTTACATGTGTTGCACTGAAATGCTTATATGTTGTTGCTTTAGTTATAAAGATTAATCATTCCTTCTCATCTTAATGCTAAAAATTTATGGCTGTTTGTTCTCTTTCTCTGGCTTATCTTCAAAATAAAATTTTATATTTTGCAAATATACCAATTTTAGTTGCATATTTTTCATTTCTAACAATTCAATTCTTAATTGTTATTGCAAAAAAAATTGCTTAAAATTTTTGATTTATTTATTTTTTTTTATTTGAGAAATTTAGAATTTCCTTAATATTACTATGCATGCAAATAGCTCTTTCATCTCCTTAAAATTTATTTTGTCCAATATATGAATTTTATTGGAAAATTCTTTCATCTTATCAAAAGCACATTTTAAACTAATAGAATCGAATTATTTACATCATTTTTTTCATAGCTAATACAATAAATCACCTTGACAGGTGATAATGTCACCGATCACGATCATATCGTATTAGGACAAAACGATGAATAAATGATTGTTCGTTTTCACTCATTCCATTCTTTCACCTTCAATGATATCACTCAAACATTTTGTTTTGAATGTAATTTATTGAAGTGGGAGTGCGGGGGTAGAGGAGATGATAAACATCTGAAATATTCAAAATATTGTTGATGAAATTGGATATGGCAACGGGGTGGAAAATATCTCGTAAAATTAATCAGAAAAGCGAAGTTTACTCTATCAGAAGTTTGATAGCATTTCATATTTCTTTTAATTCATGATATTATTATGTGAGATACTTTAGAAAGCTTAGAAACTTGCTATGGTATGAAGTAAATTGTGTGAATTTAAAGAATTCATAAATAATTTATATTTTAGAATTCTATTTGATATTTCATAGCTAAGCTAAATGGAAAGAAAAAAATGTTTAAGTACATGAATAAACTAATTTGGATATTTACAAAAGTAATACCAATTATTTTGCAAATTTATCTCATTTGCTTAGTTTAATTTAATTTTTTTCTTCGTTTCGCTTAGATATAATTGAAATGATTTTTATTATCACAATGATACACTTATAGGGGATTCTTCTCTTTATATATCACTTTCACTCTTATTCTCGATTAACTTCCAATAGATGGCGGAGAAGGGAAGTAAAATCGTTATCTGACGATAAGCAACAGTTAGAAAGTGAAATTGTTAAATCAATAAATTTTTTCTCAAATTTTGTTATTAGTCAATTTTAATTTGTTGAAATTAACAAATTTTTTTGTCAATTCCACCATGCAATACTTTTTTTTTGACAATTATTTATTTTTGGACAATTACTAATTTATACGTGAAGGAATTGGTTCAATTTGATGGTGTAATTTTAGTTGTCATTCAATTCCAATTTGTTCAAATTGAAGCTAATTGAAATGATGAATATTTAAATGGAACATCGGTTGATTTTTATTAAATGTGTCGCATACATTTTGTTCATCGCTATAACCTCCATAATTATTTAGCACGTATTTGTATACTTTGAACAGAGTAAATTAATCATTGCTTATGGACTTATCATTGCCCTTGTCAATTCCCCAAAGAAGTAAATGAAATAAATTACTTTTTTATTTGGAATTAACTTTATTAATTAGTATGGAACATTAATGGCTAGTCATTAGTGAAATAATTGCAGTTGAATATTGCTTATTATGGCGAGAAATTTTAATATATTAGAAATAAGTAATCATCAATTATTTCCAATTTTCGTTTATTTTCTTTTGCACTTTATTTGGTGAAAATTTAAATTTCGTGAGACAGAAACACTCACCTTCCAACATTGTTGACACTATTTTTAATGTCACGCAAATTGCACATAACATCAATGCAATCTATTAAATAAAGTTTCATTGTTAAGAAAGGAATTTGAAAATAATGATTCGTAGATTTTTTTTTTTGCTTCAACTTCATGTTTAATATCACTTTCTTTGATACCACACATTTACAGTTTCAGCCGGATACTTTTTGCTACCTTTTCTTCACTATAAGTAATAACTGTCATCCTCAAAAAAAGTTTCATTAAGAGAAGAATTTGAAAATAATTTACGAATTACAGATTGATATTTGAATATATAAAATGTGTTTCTGATGATTTCATCCTATTTTAAATTTATTTTTCTTCCAATAAACTATCTGGTCTATCTTGTCATTCTATTTTTTTTCGTTTCTTTTCCAATCGAAAGAATATTTTACCTAAATTCCACAAAATTAAATTTTTTCCTACCTCATTTCATTTCTATAACAGTAATTAGTAATGTAAAGAAAAAAAATGGTTTCTTCTATAGCAGATTTTTAATGCAGTGTAATTAAATTTAGAAATCATTACTAATGATGGGTTATACCATTTATTGAGGAATTGACCGATTTATTTTAATGAAAAAAATTTTTTTTTCATTTTTTCACCGTTTCCTTTTGCCCTCATTTGTATTCTCCAGAATATCGATGCTATTGAGTAAATTTTTTTTTTCCACAAATAATTAAAGGAAGGATGTACTCTTTGAAATAAAATTAAAGGAAATAAAGAAGAAAAAGAAGAAGAAGAAGGAAAACATTCAATTATTCATTAATAATTTTAAAGAATTCTTTGATTATGAATAAAAGTGCTAATATGATTTATTATGATAGCAAATGTTAAGATTCGAAAGATTATTACTTGATGGATTTCTGAAAACCAAACCAGTTGATTCTTAAAATTAAAAATAATAAATTGTTGAAGCATTTAATGGCTTTTTAATTTCAGCTCTATTTATCACATCGTTTACGTTTTGCTTCTGAAATTTTTAGATGAATTTAATGTTTTTTTTCTTTAATTTTTTAAATAGTCTTAGTTAATTTTTTCTTTGTTCAACAATTTCTTCTTTATTTACAGGGAAACAGAAATAACTCGTTCTGGTCAAAAATTAACAACTACAAAGAGCGCGCAATTGGTATCAACTCGACCGAAGAGCAGCACAAGTGTTCTGCAAAAAATGGCTATAGCTCTTGATAATCCTCGAAAATGTTATCAGCATACATTTTCTGGCGCTAACATTACTACCACTACTACTGCTACTACTACTACTACTACTACTACTACTACTACTACTACTACTACTACTACTACTACTACTACTGCTACCACTACTACTACTACCACTATCACCGGTGATCAACATTATAGAAATGGAACCAGTATCAGTGCTGATGATGATCCTGTAAGTAATTCAGATATTTCAATTAACATTTTTCAGAAATTCAAAGAGTATATTTAAATTGTTGAGGTAAATAAATGATCAGCATAGCTGTATACATTACTGAATGTCATATACTTCTAAAATTCATTAGATAATTCCATGTAGACCGTTGAAGTTAATTAATTATGGAAAGCTGTAAAAATTACAGTGTTTTTAAGTGCATTGTTAGCAGCTTATTAAATTGGTTGTTGATGAAATGTTTCAAAATTTTGCATCTAGCATAATTAAAAAAAAACGGTTATTAAGGATAAATAATATTTTAAAAGTTTATCCTGCAAATTAAAATGAGATTAAATATTGAAAATCCTTTATCAATAAATATTACTATTTTGTTGATTATTTTTACAGGAAGCAGTACAACGATTAAGTTTTGTGAGTTCATCAACCGGTTACAGTTCAGCTCGAAGTAGTTTGAGAAGTTCCGAAATAAGCGATGATACTGTTCATCCACTTAATGCTTCTACTACTAAAAAATTGCTAACGTTTGTTTTTATTTATGCAATTTTTAAATTTTATAACTTTATTTTTGACACTTTTTTTTGATTTCTCATCTTACAAATTTGAGAATCACATCAAATTACATCCGTACTGTATAGAATCACATCAAATTACATTCCTGAAGATTGTAAATAATCTTAAATTTGAGTTATTATTAGTGCTTGAGTATTTATGAGTTTTTTTTTTCCTTCCAAAAATTTCATTCAATCTAAATTAGTTATTTATCAGACAAGAATTATCGTTATCGGAAGTACGTCGTCTAAAATTATTAAATAGTGGTACAGTAACACAATTGGATCGGATTGCTATGGAATTACTGGAAACGGAACGTTCTTATGTTAATGATCTCAATGACATTATACAGGTAAAGTTATATTTCTTTAACTTTGCAAATTCTAATCTCGTGGATAGATTACTTATCAGTGATAAATTAACGTCTATCGCATAAATTTATCAGGTAGCGATAGTTATGCTATCATATCGAGTGATTTTATTTTCAATCTCAACTATTCCACTCTATCATCCTACTAAATTTATAACTTTCTTTTTTTTTTTCTCAAATTCATCATTTTCTTATTCTTCCTGTACCTGCGATATTTCAGAATAATACTTAATGAATCAAATTATCAAGCATTCTTCCCCTTAATATCTTAGAAAGAATTATGTTACTCGTAATAATTACATATTGAATTCAATTAAAAAGCTATTAAAATATATTAACTTCTTGAAATAAAAGCAAATCATAAAACTTTCCGAGAAAGTAGGCCAGAATATTATCCGTAAATATTCTGATCATTGATTTGAATAACTCATACGAATTTCAATTTTGCTAATTTAGGCTCTCATTGATAAATGCTTCGGGAGAGATTATTCTCTCTCTTTTGGCCTTCTAAATCTTAATTGCAATCCTTAGCAGCTTTTTAATCGTGAAATATGAAACGAACCTTAGCATTGTTTACAACAGAAATATATCATTTTTCATCAAACAGTTGCCAATAATAGCGGAATAATTCGAAACGACATAGCATTCAGAATATTTGAAAAAATAGTTTTTTTTTTTTCTCTCAAATATTCTTTAAGTAATATTTGCCAATTTCGATACTTTTACTTTCATTAATAAGTTAATTGATTAAAATATATGAAAGAGTTCAAATTAATTAAGCAAAAATATGCAGGGATATTTGAATTTTTTGGTGGATCATCGGGAAGAATTCGAGATGACCGTAGATGATATTTCCAATACATTCGGTTGTATTGAACGTATCTTTTTGTTCAATAAAAAATTATATCACGATTTAGATGCTGCTCAATTAAGCGTCGTTTCGGTGAGGCTTTTTAGTTATTTTCATCAGACGGACATTATCCACTATTTTTCCTAAAACTATCAATCAATATTTCAGTGTAAATTGAATTAGTATTTTAAAATTATATCGATGTATTAGTTTTGATTATGAAAGAGAATCTCTTGATGTGCCAGATAGCTAATTGGTAGTGAGCTATTGCTACCATGCCGTGTCTCTTTGGTTCGACTTCGTGCTGTGGCAGTGACATGAGTTGTATAGGCTTGTGCTCATGATGACAGTGCGACTAGGGCGGTCTTAGTACAGGATGATGAGACGCTAATTGTGTGCATGAAACTGAAGCACAGGCTATTTGCTGGGCCTATTAGTGCCTTCCTTTGTGATGTCATAGGCCATTCCGTACATCGAATCAGGTTACCGTGGGAAGCACTGATCTCCTGACACCTGGCCCTTTGGAAGGTCAGATTAAGTGGTCGATTTTCAAGGGCGGCAACTTTATCATATCAAAAGGTGCGATATTACGGCTAGTTTTAAATTTGTTGATGAAGCACTCAATGAAATTCACTTTTGAAATGAATGAATGTTACAGATGGCAAAGTGCTTATCAGATAACATGGATGGTTTCAATGATTATATTGTGTATTGTACCAAATATCAAATGTTGGTTGTTATTGCTGCTTTTTTTTTCACTCAAATATTACGAAAAACGAATTTTTTTTGCATAACATATTAAATATTTTAGCTTAATTAAATTATTCAAAGAACTTTGCAAATATTTGCACAATTTATTTGAAATTTCTTTATTTCTTCTCAAAAAATCAAAAATTTACAAACTGATGGAATTGTTTGTTTGTTTTCTTTTTTTTTTTTTTGATTATCTCTCTGTTTCAATTTCAGAATGATTGAAACACTGTCAGTGTTATTAAAAAATAAAAAAGTAGCGGAAAGTTTAAGACTTCGACAATCCATTCTTGGACATTCTCTTCCTCTCAGTGCGTATCTGCTGAAGCCAGTACAACGAGTACTCAAATATCATCTCTTCCTTGAAGTATTACTACTTTAACTCTCATCCATTACTTTTACTATTATACTCTTTTTATGGTAATTAGTTTTAGTTTTGCTTACCGGAAATGTAGACGATTTCAACTGGAATATCGTAAAAAATCCATTTATTCTGATTAGAAGTTATCATATTTTCATACGAAATTTATCTTTCAGAAACCTTTATAGCTTATGTGTTTTTTAAATTTATCTTTAAAAAAAAGACATCCTTTGTTTGAGATTAAATTTTTAATTGGAATTTCAATTTACAGAATATTCTAAAAGCTTCAGTGGATTTAAAAACTCTATCAGACGGTGATCGAGCAGTCATTCTGCAAGCTCTTCATTGCATGACTTCACAAGCGGAAAAAATAAACGAAGAGAAGAAACGTGTTGAGCATCTGGAACGTGTACGTGAGCTTCAGAATGCTCTCCATAAGTGGTGTATCGATGAGAAAGAAGATCTGTCGAAATATGGCGATCTACTTTTGGAAGCTACCTTTAAGCTTGCTGGTGCCAAAACTAATCGACAGTTATTTTTATTCGAGGAAATGCTGTTGATTGTGAAGGAGCGGAATGGTGCTTTGATTTGTAAGGATTATATTATGGTGAGAAAAAATTCATTGCTTCATTTTCTCATAAGTAATTACGGCAAAATGTATTTCAGAAGCACGACTTTCGAAGTTATTTTTTTGATCGATACAAATTTACGGAGCTATTTCTATATGATAGAAAAAAAAGAAAAGGGAAAATAATTGTAAGATATCGCTCTAAATGCTAGAATTACTTTTATTAAATATTTAAATTCGAATTTTTTAGTGTTCAAGCTTGATGCTAAACGAGTCAATATCCACTGATCCACTGGCATTTCAAGTGCTTTCCTACGATAATCCAAAGATTCAGTATATCTTTCTCGTAAGTATTTTCTATCTTGTTTGAAAAACTTTAAGTGAAATTGATTGTGAGATACTGCTGGAAAATACTGGGAAACATTTGCTGGGAAATTTTGTGCAAATTAAAAAAATTCCATTGTAATAACAGTAAAATTTAGGCTTCGAATATGGATCAGAAGCGACATTGGATGAAGGAATTAAAACGAATGATGTTGGATCATTATGCGATTGAAATACCAGAGAAAACTAAAATGTTGATGCTTAGTTTAAGTGATGATTGTTCAAAATCAATTGGATTTTCAAGCCAACAAGGTTAAAATCATATAAATGAAATGTGCAAATTTACCTGTGCAGAAGTTTCTGATTTATTAATAAGAAAATCTTATCTAATCTTCAATTACTGTTAACAATTTGATGTTAATTTTAGGTTTTGCGTTAAATGTGAAAGGTAATAAGAAAGTACCGAAGTATCTTGAAAAGCGACGAAAAAGTATTGATGCTAATCAAACATTCCGTCGATCGCATGTTCGAAAACGAAGTTGTTCTAACAGTAGGAATATTTTAAAAGCGGTAAATTCTTTTATTTATTGTAAAATCATCCATCTGATAATATCAGACATGAGCAGTGCAGATGATAATATAAAAGATGATCTTGTGATAATTTAATGTTTTTACACAAGCTATACTAAAACTAAATAGCATGCATCAATTTTGTCCTGAAGAGTATTTTACAAATTAAATATTTTGTATTTAACGATATCAATTGAAGTGAAAATTCTCGATCAACGATTTCATGTAATTTTCGATAATTTGAAATGCTAAATTCTATTTTAATGACAATATTGGCGAAGTAGTTAACTTTTTTCCTATAAAAACTATCATAAGTGAAAATACATCCTTTCAGTCATCAACAGGAAATCTTGCTAAAGAAGTAGGGATGCATCAGGAAGCTGATGGTCCTCCAAAAACTAATCATTTCTGCAGTTTCAGTAGCAACAGTAAGGTACATAACATCTGCTTGTGTGAAAATTAATTTGAACTAACATTTGTAGATTCCGTCACAAAAAAATGATGGTTTTTGATTTTAACAGAATACTTATCACGCAGCACTTTTTGTTTGTGTAATTTTCAAAATTTCATTTAGAATAAATAAAAATCAATGAAACAGTGACTTTTCGATCATTCAAAGTTATTACTTTTCTAGCCAACTACATCCGTATCCATGGAGAATACTTATGAACTTGAATCTGCTGAACTATCCGGACGTTCATCAGCTTTTCAGAATTTATTTTCAAAAAAGAAAAATGCTGAAACAAATCGGAAAAAATCGAGCTGTGAACGTAAAAGCAGTCTTGTCTCTCATTTACCGCCATCTATTTTAAAAGTGTTACATTTATTTTTTTTCGTTTTGTTTGACATTTTTATTTTTGCAATTAATTGAATTTCTACTTGGAATATCTGAGAATTTGAAATGTTTCGGATAGGTTTTTGTTTAAATTTAAAAATTTTTGTTTTTATTACTTTATCAAAAAAAAAAGATCGGAAATAGAGATTAGTGTAAAATTTCAGGATTATCGGATAAAAAAATCTTCGGACACTGTACAAAATACCGCTAATAAGCAATATTCACGGTATGGAAGTAACGATTTCTTCAATTAATCTTTTACTACTTTTGTTCAATTAGAAGGATAAAATTTAGATGTTTTTTAGTTCTATTTAAACCAAAATTATAATAGTCTTTACTAATAATTAGAATGATATCAATTTATGACCTCAATCTTTGTTCTTAAAATTCATCCTAAATGTTTAAATTTTAAAATTTATTTGCTATAAAATTGGACAAAATTAGATAGAAAGCTATTGCAGGTGTCAATGCTTGATAACAAATCCTAGTACATCCGTGTATCCAACATCTCCATCCATTTGTCCCCATCCTAGTGCAAGTTGTTGTGCACAAAAGCATTTCGATGATACGATGGCTATTTTATATGGAGTTAGCTTTTTATGAAATTCTCGTATATATACAATTGATATGATGACGATGAAATAATCTTTTTCCAGAAACATAATTGATACAACTCTTAACTTGCCTAAATTCGAATTTAATAAGTCAGGGTCGAAAAAGTTGTCAAAATTAGAAAATTAGACAATCAAAATTCTTAAAAATTCAAAGTTTAATAAGTGAGGGTCGAAAAAATTACAGGGGCATAGGGCAGAGTTAGAAAATCAGACAATCAAAATTCTTAATGAAATTTTAAAATGACATCAAAGAAATTTTTTTTTTTTCAGGAACTGCAATTGCTAATGAAGAATGCAGGAAATCTTAATAGTATTGGTGAAAGCAACAATAAAGATGATGATAGGAGGAATATTGTCGGATCACAAAATGAAACAACAAATAGAATTGATATTGTTGCTAATGAAAATAGAGGTTAGCTTTCTTATGCAAACATCAGAGAGCTATGAGTTTCTATGATGAATCTCGGAAATTAATCGATAAGCTATGTATGCACTCTTGAATATCACCACTCTAATATGTCACAGAAAATACTCCATATGCATCGAGTACAGCTAAGTAAACAGCAATATGCTGATTTAATTATCCAATTTAATTCAGCAATGGCATCTAAACATCACTGCGTTTTGGTCACACATTCGGCGATCATTTGCAAAACATTGCAATAACTTGTCATTAAGCTGTTATTTAATGAATAAAAAATCGATTCTTAATTTGAAAGGATAATGTTTTCAGAATTTGAAATCGATACAGTTTGGTTTTGTTTTCTTTAACAAATTTTATTTTTTGTTTTTTAATAAAATGGATGACTATTTCAAATTGGAATTACTTGCCTAAATTCTTGTTTTTTTGAAAATTTTCAAGAAAAAAAAAGAGAATACATCCTTCTCCAATTTTATTAAACTATTTAGTTCGCAAAAAACTAAGCCAAACAGTATTGACTTCAAATTCATTTGAATGCATGGCTGATCGATGAATCTTCATAGTATTTCCAGTTTTGATCTGTCATAAGGAGGCTTGCATATAAGAATATCACAACTATACAGTTATTCGGTATTCTTTCGGCATGCTTACAAAATTTATATGAAGTGACTACTCGACAGAGATGTTAGCATAGAAAAATATTGAAATTTAAAAAATTTCAGGTAAAGATGACTTACCAGAAGAATTAAAGATACGTTCTCGTTCACTGAGTAAATCTGATGAAGAAACCATCTTTGGTGAGAAATGCAGAATGGTTAATAATCCGAAAAAAAACTACCTATCACCTGCTACTGATTTATCGAGAAATTTGATGGATAGAACTTTAGGTTAGCCAATCATTTTTTTTTTTGATTTCTGCTTTTAACGGTTAATAGAGGAATGGATGAGAGAATTCATATTATCATCTGAAAAGTGAAGTTTTTGAACTGTAGCGGAACATCCGATTGTGAAAGTAACTTGTAAAGAATATTGCCATTAAGCGTGGATGAAAATCAGAGGTTTTTAAAGCAGTCAGAACCGTTTTAGCTTTAACTGTAAACGATACCTTTCCTTCAGCTATAAATACACCTTATTGAACTGCTTTGAAGGAATAAAAGTTTTTTAGTTGCATAGAAAGTATGCTTTCGAAATTGAAATTTACAAGTGAAGCCTGCAAATTTTTTAACCTAACACAGGAATATATCAGTGTCGTGCAAAAGCTAAACTGATATGCTGATCACTGATACGCCGATATCAAAAGTTTCCTTTTCATTACAGAGGAACAGGATTACCGGTCACTCCTTCTGATGCTTTCATCACTTTCTTCAAAAATTTACATGTACAAGGAGAAGCCAGAAGTAATACACAATTTGCTTCTTCCACTAAGCTCAAGAAATGGTAAAAAAAAAAATTGCAACATAATCGATTTTTTCTTTGATGATTTAATTTTGTTGTAGCAGAAGATTGTAATGCTTCTTACGATCCTGCATTGGAATCAAAAGATTGTGATGAGCCGACAAGCGTTGTTTCATGGATTGAATCACCGCATATTAGTGAGAAGTAAATTTTAAACTATCTTCTGAGCACTGACTATAATTTTGTAATGCTTCTTAGTTTTTGCGACATCATTGAATTTAATTGTTGTATTTGGTTAGATCGAAGCTATAATTAAAATCCGCACTTTCTTTTAGTTGTTTTTTTTTTCAATATTAAAATTAATATTTAAGATTTCGTGGATTAGGCTCCTACCATAATGTTCATCATCGGCGACGTTCATCACAGGTAGCAGAACAGGTATGGAGATTACGGCATAAACAAGCCCAGGACTATAAGGCTAATGAAAATAATACCGACAAGGTTTGAAATTTGTAGTTTCTAACACACATAGGTATCCTGCAAGATCTTAAATAGCAAAAGTGGAATTTAAAGATTAAAATTCAAATTTAAGTAATTCAATAATTGTGATTAATTAATGCGCTATAGAAAAAAAAGTTTTATACTGTAGAAATCTTTCCTCAAAATAGAATAGAAAAGAAATGAAATTTTACAGAACTTATTAATTTCTTCGACAATAAGAACAGGAATGTTACCTAAAGATACAGTAACCAGAATATCAAAACCATCGCAGTCAATGGTATCAAATCATAATGTTGATGGAATTGATTATCGATGTTGTGTTGCGAGGTTTTTACTTTCTTTACATCGTTTATGCAAATTTCATGAATTTCATATTGCACATTGAATAGCTGCATTTTAATCGACTATAAATAAATGTTAGCATTATCCATATGTAATAAACTTTCTATTGAAGTTGCCAACTTGTATTTTTTCAGACAGCGTACTCCACTTACGGTCGAGCAATGTGCAGAACTTGATGGCGAATTAAATTCGGATTTGGGTGATGTGAAAAAAATTATTAGACAGCTAGAGAAGCCTAGGCCATTAATTGCATCATCATCATTACATCAACACGCCATTTAAATTTATATTTCTCAAGCATATAACAGTTTTGTTCTGTTTGTTTATTCGTAAAAGGCACATTAGACAAGGAAGGATCAATAGCGCCAGATTTGTTTAAAGGCCCAATACTTACTTCATTATAATTGATAGATTAATTAAACTGCATTAGTCATTTAGCAATTTATGCATCTTTTTGCAAATTTCATAAACTTCATCTTACACGAATAGATTCATTTTAATCGATATCAACAAATAATATATTGCATGTTGAAGCTCTATACATGTGTCACAGTACTAAATTTAGTACTTAAAAATTAGAGTTCTTTCTTTTCCTGTAAAATCATTTCGTAATTGAGTTCCTACAGTACTTTTTTTTTCCACTTTTTCAATACAATTTTGAACGGTCCATAAGTTTGTTACACAAATTTATTTTTTTTTTTATTTTTTGGAAAAATTTATTTGATCACACTTTTTTAGCTATGTGTTGTACACATTTTCATGGCTTTTTCTCATAGATAGGATGAGAGGAATGAATGGACAGAGTCCATTTTAATTAATGATGAACAATTTTTGCAATAATTTAATTCCTTTTGTTTATTGCTATTTGTTATCATAGCAGTGTTTATCGTACTGTCACAAAATCTAAATGTAATTAGGAAGGAATCACAAGAATTGTTTGATTGATTGGTCGAGAATTGTTTGATTGATTGAAATTCCAGTAATTTATGAAGTATGAATTGGAAGTATAAAGAGATGGAATGAATTAACTTACAAGATTTACTAAAACTTTCAAATTGATTGTATCATTTTCAAACAATCATGATTTCCTACTATATTGCAATTCATTATAAAAATAAATATTTCTTAAAGATTTATTTATGCAAATTTCCACTATCTGATTTTTGCTAAAATTATGCTTTTTCTTATAAGCCTTTCATACATGTTATCAGTGAATAGCTGGAAATTATTTCACTGAAAGAATGTTTTACTTTGTGATCTGTATCGTCGATCTTTTTGAATTACATAACTAAAATAACACTGATAGGATTAGCCAACATTTTTTTTACAGTAGTATAAAAAGATATGAGAATATAAAGGAGAAGGAAAATTAAACGTTCATACTTTTACATTTTTAATATAAAAGTACATCGTTTTAAAAAAAAAATAAGTCGAAAGTACATTTTAATTATATTTCTTTTTTTTACCTCTCATTCAAATGGATAACATTTTAAATTGCGTTAATTTTTCTGTCACAATCTTTTTTTAGTTTACATTAATCATTCTTACAGTATCAAATATTATTTTTTTTTTACAATGAAAGTGCCTTATTTGTTCAATTGTTCTTATTTTGATAGCTTTCTCTTCTTTTTTTTCTGTGTTATTTTATTTGCTAAACAAATGCCTTCAAAAAGTATTTGTTGAATTAAGCTACTTAATTCTCGTACTTCTTACGTTTGATGCATTATGACATTTAACGTACTATCAGTGTATAGCAAATACAAAAGAAATAATTTCTATCATTATTACGACATGATAAAAAATAAATGACAATATTATTCAAATATTTGTTTTATTAGATAAATAAATATATATGTTATAAGTTCATCATTTGGAATTTTGAAAGTCGACTCTTCCCTTCTATTCATTGAAATTCGAACCGTGCTTTTTTTCTTAATACTTAGCTCTTATTTATATTATTGAATATAGAAATTTGAATAAGCTAGAAAACATCATTATATATATATATAAGACAAAAGTTCAAAAATTGACCCTTTCTATGTAGTACTGAAATTTGAAACGTACTTTTTTTAAAACGCTTGGCTTTTATTCATGTTAGTATGGCCATAAAACGTGGACGAAGTTACGAAGCAATAGCAAATTGGCTATTACACTTGCCTTGGTCAATAAATAAACACATCGATTTGTATGATGAATTTTACATAGGCTGCTGACCAACAGTGATATCGGCCTAACCAGTCTGATAGGTTGCTGTAAATAAACATTATAAATGAATGTTTTCAAGATTATCAACAATGGGAGGAAGAGATAGTGGAGAGATTTTGTTATTTTGAAATTGCGAAGTGAGGGAGGGTGAGATTAAAATATTACGGAATCTCGGAATATGTAACGAAAAAACGAAAGAGAGAGAGAGAGAGAGAGAGAAGGAGAGAGAAGGAAGTAGTAAAGGCAATCAAATGATTCTTCATTTCATATGCAACACCTTTTTACTAACAATATTTTGAATGAACGGGCAACTTTCATCTATCAATTTTTCTTTTTTAGCGTTAGTGAATGAAGTGAAACGGTGCAATTGAGATGAGTGATGTATGTGAAAATATTGTGGAAGAATTTTTTGAGTGAGAAATTATCCTTTATTTGGCAGTTTGTTAAAAAAAAAAAAAAGAAAATAATAGGTGAAATTGAACTTTTCATCTTTTTTTGAATGCAAATCCTTTTTTCTTCATAAATTTAAAATGAAGATAAGAAGCATGTTAGCTTTGAAAATTTTTCTTCTATGCTTTTCAATTATTAAGCACATGTTTTGTTGATTCAAATGAACAAGTTAATAAACTGCACAACATTCTTTTTTTTCAATTTAAATGTTTTACTGAATGTGTAGGAAGCTTTGAAAATGCTTTTTTCATATGTCTACTTTTATTGCTTCCATTCCCTCTTGATGCATTTACAATGTTAAGTTCAGTAAATATGAAATATTGATTTTTGCGGAACAAATAAATAGTCATTTATAATTGTTGGTGTAACGGTAACAGCAACATTAATTTATCGAAATTTAATCCAACTAAAACGATAAAATTAACTGATTAATTGAACCTTTCTACGTGCATCGATTAGAATTACGAAAATTTTTCGGGAATTTCATGGAAAAAAGTTTTGTTAACGAATATAGGAAAAAGGGCATTACAAGTAATAGCGCCGAATTAAAAATCATTACTGTTATTTCTTTAACTTTTTATTTCACTTACAGCACAATCCAACATATTCTTTGCCTCATTAATAGGCCAAGGTTGTTTTTGGTAGTGTTTTCTAGGGCAAATGTTGGAGTATTTTTGTATTTCAGAGAAGATGAAGAAAATAGGAAAAAAATCTAATAATTCCTCATTTTATCAAGTTATTTTTCCAAATTTTTGGTGATTCTTTTAAACTGTGTTTCAATATTTTTAGTATGGTCGGAAAAAAAGAAAAAAGCGGGTAAATTTCTTTGAAGAAAAATGAAATTTATTGAAAAAAAGAATTTTCGAGCTACTTTGCCATTTCCTATGTTTTAAGTAAGCGAAGAGATAGGATAAGATTATTTCGAACTTTTTTTATTTTAAAGTTAGAAGTTAAAAAAAATGCAATAGCTTTCTAACTATTCTGAATATTCCGAACATCATTTGAAATTTTTTTTCATGCCTAAAAGCTTATAATTATCTGTTGCATTTTGCTAATCTAACATTTTTATCCTTTAATCCATTCGCTTATCGATTCGCATAAATTGCTTGTTAGCTATTTAAATTTGAAATAAATGATAAATCAAATATACAATATCTGAATTGAATTTTCACATCAGGAAATTTTCATGTTATGCAAGATTCTTCCATAATTAACCATACTGCAATACTGCAATGCATATTTGTATTCGCGTATTTGAAGAATTAATTAATTAATGAAATCTGAATTACACCAATTATTAAATGATTATCTGAATTATACAAATTATTAAATGATTAAAACAGTGATGGATAAGCAAAAGAAGGAATAAATATTAAGACAATTGATTAAAAATTAATGAATAATTTCGTATTACAATGGCAAATATTCAAGCAAATTTTTGTGGTCAAGCATTTTTGACCTTCAATTTTTTAAATATTTTTAGATATTATATACATAAAAAATTAGAAGAAGAATTTATTGAATATTTCAGATGGAAGGTAAATATCGCTTTCAGAAGCGATTTTTGCAATTTTTGCGCTTCTATTATAAGCATATAGCATATAAATGCATCGCTGCATGTGTCGTTTTTTTTTTCAGCTCGAAGAGTACATTTTGGCTTTCTATAGCATTTCAAAGAAAAAGATAAAAAAAATTCAAAACGAGTATCCTTTTCTGATAACATCTCCTCTCTCTCTCTTTTTTCGTTTTTTATTAGATTAGCTTACTAATGGGAAGAAAAATTAATTAATTATGATAGAAATGAAATTAATCAGTAAATCAATCATTAATCTTATCATAATCGTTTCATGTAACTTCATCATATCTTAAAAAACTGATATTATCTACCGGACAAACGCATATCGTATTGCTTATGAGTAAATGAGCTTTATGATATTTCAAGTTTATCAGTAATGAAATGTTGGAAAGGTAAAACGATTTTATTATATTCCACTTATTCAAATTATAGCCTAACTTTTCTAGGCTTAATTATAAATTTATCAATCATTATTTTAAGATCAATTCTGGAATATCCCGTATGATCGAATTTGGCTTATATTCAGCGTTTCCTGACTACCGGATAATTCGTTTCATATTGATTAACACTTTTCCCCAAAACACTTTTCATTGCTCTGGCCGTTTTGATGTGAACATGTTTCATTACACTTAAAGAAGTTATCATCGTATTTTGTTGTTTAATTTCAACCAACTAGCAAAATATGTTTATGCAAATTACACACACTACTAGATAGTATTATTAATCTTTCCCATTCTAATTATCAAATTATTTATTGGTAAGAATTTTGCATCACTTAAACAATTATTCATCCTGGAAATGCAACAATTATCAATGTTTTTCATAACTTCGTAATTTTGCATCAAAATAAAATCACTGTACAAATTCTCTTTATTTAATCATTGGATGAAATAGCCGGATTGTAATTTATATGATCACTGTATAACCCCCGGAACTGGTTTAATTTGGAATTTCAACCAGATTGCGCATTTTTTAATTTAGAAACATAAAAAAATTTATCTTCTGATTAATCAAAATGTCAGCTAATAGTACGATGTTTTCAAATTCCCCA